TCAGTAAAATTGGGATCTGGTCAATGCTTAAGAAGATTCAGAAAGAAATATTATTTTTACTGTTCATAATTGCTGAAGCTGCGACTTTAGGGAAAGCTGGAAAAATCTTTCAGTTTAAACCCAAAATTAAACAGAAATGCAGCTCACATACCCCTGATATTTGAATGGCAACTAATGCTTTCCAGTGGCACATCGCCTTGAGTTCTGCATGCACAGTGATTTTACATTTTAGATTATAGTTTGTTAAAGTTAAGATGTGTATGTATAGATTCTATGTGCTAAGTTTTAATGCTGTAGAGTGCAGGATTTAAACTGGAGCTTGAAGGGTGAGTAGGTCATGAGATTCTGTGCTTAAATGTCTCAGTGTTTAGAGCAGGCAGGTTTGTATTTCTCTAACGTGGGCATTTCTTTCTGCAAAGTGTTTGCCACATTGTTCTGTTCTGAAGGATAGGATCTGGGGATAAATGAGCTGTTTTAGCCAGCAGCACATTGGTCATGACTTTTATGGCTCATCTGCTGGCTTACTCTGAGGCCACGCCATTATTTTCCTTCTTAAAGAGTGATTCTAAAAGGGTGCGTGGATACCTTAAACTCTTCCCTTTCATCATCTTCCCTATGAAGAGAACAACCACGTCCTTGCAAACTGTTTTATTTTCTCCAGTAATCATTTGTAGCAATACTTCAGTGCTTTTAAAATATGCTTTTAAGGTGTCAGTTTTGCTACAACACCGTTGGATTCACTTCTGCAGCTGTACTTACTGAATCCTTCAGCCATCAAAAAATGTTGGCTTCAGTATTAATTGTGTTGTTAGTACCCTGTATGCTTACTGAGATCTCAAGCATAACTTCAGTATATCACACAGTCAGACTTACTGTACTAATAAAAAATACATTGAAGTTATGGCCCGTTTCAGATCCTTTAGTCACAAGAGACACTGCATTCAGAATGTGAAAATTAATATCCAGCCCTCATATCTTACTTATAACTGATATTGTTCAGGTATTAATCCTTAATCATTATTATTTGCTAATGGAAACACCATTAGAATGGGTTTGGTAGGACATGATATTCCCTTTTCCTATAGTAAAAGTATTACTACAATGTGTAAAATACCCTACAGGTTAAATGGCTAAATGGGCCATTGCTATTCAGCTGATCTGCTTGGTGAGTAGGATTACAGTATCCGATATATTTGGTTTCCTTCTTCACTCACTGAAATATCAAACCACTCATTTTTAGCATTCGTTAAGTCCGACAGGAATGATAGCTGCTGAATGAAGGCAACATAATTAGCTGCTGCTTAATGCCTGAGAACTTAACCCTCCTTTAGAAAAGCAAGTTGAAAAGCATGTCCCACAGCATGTTTGTGTGTTTAAAAGAGGCAATGGAAATCATCTTTAGTGATTCCCCCCCCCCCCCCCCCATTTACTCCCTAAGTGCCTTTATGCTTTTGTGGTGCTTGTATTTGTTCCTATAATGAAACAGCGATTGTAATTCAGCAGTATGAAATTAATGGATAGAATGGATAGATTCTGCTCCTCAGAAATTACATGACCCACTCTTTGAAAACAAACAAAACTGAGTAAATGTTTACCTTGAAACCAACTGGGGAACGCGATTCTTAAGCCTCCAGATTTTTGGCCAGAAAATCAAGGTTTCATCCAATGAGGCTCAAACCATAACAGTAGAAAGGTCACGGGCATCAAATCTGTGGGGGAAATTGAGGACATCAACTGTTCTGGGAAGGAATATATACAGAATCACAAGGAGGAAAAGGAGATAAGTGCAGAAACAAAGAAGATTGAAGGTCAGACTGATCGTGCTTTCAATGTAAACAAAAAGATATTAGTGGCAGAGATTGGAACTTTCTGAAGACATAAGATTTAGAAGCCTTAATTGAAACATCAGTTCTTTACACTGAGAGCATGGAAATTCTTCTTGTAGATATCATATTGTCATCAGGAAAGGAGAGATTTAGACATCAACAGCTGTAACTTTAAAGGAACCTTTTAACTTATTTTTTAAAGGCACATCAGGGTTAGCTTAGACTACAGGGTATTTTAATCAAAAAGAAGATATTCGGGCAGATGTTGAGCTTAGCAAACTGCCTGGCTTGGACCCTCTTGTCTTCCATAATGGGATCAGCTGCTGCTACTTTACCTTAATGTGGTGCACAACATGTGCCAGCTGTGATATACATGCTACAAGATGGTTTGGGGTTTTTATTGGTGCTTGAGGTAACAATTTATGTTTTGAAGCGATGTGTTCAACATCTTTTGATCAAAATGTATGCTTCGTTATATTCTGGGGGGACTTCAGCCATTTTAGCTCTAGTTACATCCTGTTCAGATTAAACCATCTACATCATTCCCTTGAATTCAATGCATTTACTCTAAAGGAACTCACATGAAGGTGTCCACTCTCTTTTCTTCTGAAAAGACAACAAACCCTTGTCACCACAGGGGTATAATGGATTGGGGGTTTCTTCATAAATATCAGCAGCTGTTTATTACAAACACAGCCATCTGTGGTAGGATCTGTCTTGCATATGTGTACAAGGCTACGATGGTTGGTTGTTAAATGGTCAGAAATGATCCACAGTAACTCCATAGATTTTCCTTTTAATGGAGAATGATGGTGAGTGCTGCAGTGACCAGGGAATGCTGGACGTGCTCTAGAGCTGCCGTGTCCTCATGTGGTCACCGAGAACGAAAATTCAGTTCCAAGATACATTTCTTTGTAGTAGTTTTATTCTCAGGTTGAGAAAAACCCGTTCCATGGAAATTGCTTCATGTCTGAATGAGCTCTACCCTGTCCCTTTGTGAATAAAGGAAAATAAGACTTGATTACTTGTGAAGGCTCATCTCAAGTGAGATTTTGAATATTGCTAAATAATCACTTTGGTTCGACGTTAAGGTTATTAACCAATTATGAGTGTTTTGTGGTTGTCATGATCAGTTTGGTTTCAACAAAAAAGCTGTTTTCTCATTGAATTACTGTTGTTTTTCTTGAGGACTAGCCCCCCTTTCCAGCTGATCATCTAACGCTAACATCTGCTTCTTCTACACAAGTATGACATGGTTTACAGCTCTGGTATATCTGATATTTAGACTGGTTATTTATTGGAGTGATTCTGAGTCTAAAGAGTTGTTCTGGGGAAGATCAGGTACACTTCTGATACATATTCATTATTGAAAGGAGGGAGGAATGTATATTTCTGTCTCTAGAAATTCTCCCATAGTAGTTTTGATTGTGGTGAATATTGTGTCCAGTTCTGGGCCCCTCAGTTCAAGAAGGACAGGGACCTGCTGGAGAGAGTCCAGCGCAGGGCAACAAAGATGATTAAGGGAGTGGAGCATCTCCCTTATGAGGAAAGACTGAGGGAGCTGGGTCTCTATAGTTTGGAGAAGAGGAGACTGAGGGGTGACCTTATAAGTGTCTATAAATATATAAAGGGGGAGTGTCACGAGGATGGAGCCAGGCTCTACTCAGTGGCAAACAATGATAGGACAAGGGGTAATGGGTACAAACTGGAACACAAGAGGTTCCACTTAAACTTGAGAAGGAACTTCTTCTCAGTGAGGGTGACAGAACACTGGAACAGGCTGCCCAGGGAGGTTGTGGAGTCTCCTTCCCTGGAGACATTCAAAACTCGCCTGGACACATTCCTGTGTAACATTATCTAGGTGTTCCTGCTCCGGCAGGGGGATTGGACTAGATGATCTTTTGAGGTCCCTTCCAATCTCTGGCATACTGTGTGTGTGTGATATCTGTGATGAGGAACAGTAAACTAAGTGTGCCAAAATATGGTATTTATAATACACAACTATAATTTTGCTCTAACATGCAACTGAATTGAAAGTTATCTAATAAAATCATCCATCGAGTTCTCATCTTCCCAAGTCCTGAACCAAAAAGTTGAATGCCAATTGGCCGTATGAAAATAAAGCTTAATTGGAAAGGAACAGTTAATTGTACTGCAACAGAAATAAATTTAAACACGTTTTCTCAATTATATTTATTTGCACCTTAAAGAATAAATTATCTTCCTTGTAATTTGAAAAGCTTTGAATTAACTGAAGGAGAGAAAATAAATGCACAAAAGGCACCTTCTTGACAGTCTTGTCAATACCCGTTTGGAACTGACAACATGAGAAATTATGGTATCAACCTAAAAAATGAAAATCCTCAGGGCTCTGAAAACACGAGATGAAGACAATAACATCTGTATGCCAGAGCTGTGATATATGACTTGCCCAGCCATTATAGAATAATCGGTGACTGCTGCACGCATGGCACTGTGTGCGTGTTTAAAACTATATAGAAATTAAAGTTATAATGTATTCAGCAGGAACAGAAAAGAATTGGTATCTGTTTATTAAACTGGTTCCTTAGCATATAAGCACACAGGTGGATATAAAAGAAGTCAGATTTAAGAGAAATCCGCAGCCAATTTTAACTTGCCCGACACTGTGAAGCACTAGATAATGTAATGGCTTTTTAGACATGTTCATCTTGTAGTTTAGAATGGCGCAAATGCAAAATCGTGCAAAGGAAGCTAGCTTAGTTTGATGGATTTAAGAAACAAATTTGAATGTAAAAGTAGAAGAAACTTTGCTATTAAAGAAATGAATAAATGTAACTCTGCTGGGAGCATCCAGCTGAACTTTAAGTGTTCTGGCTTGAGGGATTTTAAATGAAAACACAACATGGATCTGACTCTTGTTTTAAACCCAGGACTGTTGTTGGGTTTTCGTACAAGAGTACAGGCATACTCTGTGGTTCTATGTGGCAATGTTCTGTTTCACCAGGTCTCTGTGTTCACACAGATTGTGTAAAGTTTGTAGGTGAGAAACTCCTACAAAAGGAGAGTTTCTTGAAATAAGTTTTGGCTGACTCAATGAAGGTGGAGAAAAAAGGTTGTTCTCAAGTGTGGGTGATGCATCTTCAACTCAGACTGTGTTTCTGATCTCTATTCATTTTTTGTTTCTGACTCTAGGACTTCTGCTCATCTGCTTCTGATGATGAGGTTTCAGAAAGCTGAAGAGATCTTCCTTCATGTCCAGGCAACACAAAGTGAAGAATGCAATGCTGATTCAACAGGTTTCAAGTCCCTGCAGGTACAGTTGCTTCTTTCAGCAGTTTTGAAATTGGGATTCATGATACTCTGTGATCAAATCAGGATTACTGCTGTAGGCTTTTGGTGGGAATTAGAGAATGCTCTGTGAAGGGTAATGATTACGTTGCGATGCCTTTGTTCTTTGGCCTCTTCTGGAAGAAAGGGCAGGCCCAGGATTGGCCTGTCTTACAGGGATAGACCACAGATATCCCATGAAAACCCGAGGGAAGAAAACAATAGCAGGTTTGAGATGTTCTGGTCTGTAACGCAGTCACTGCGTGCATTGGGCGGTCCTACCTCAACGTGCTTTTTATTTTTTTCTCCTAGTCTCAGCAAGCTCCTTCATGAACCTGTCCATCCATGATACCTTGTAAATGAATGTAAGCAATGTGCTGAATTTGTTTGCTCTAGTTTCAAATGTCAAACAAATTAACTTGAATAAAGAACTCTTTCCTGAGTTCTCTCTTGCATTTGATATTAGTAATGAAGATGAGTGCAGTGCTTATGTGCCCTTTTCCAGGTCATGGAATGTATCAGGTATGTGAAGGACAGTGTGGGCAGTGAAATGCCCTAGTATCAGCTGCAAGGTTTTGGTGATAGAGGGTATGTCAGTGTCAGTGGTAAGATCCTGGGTTGTTTTTCATTAGTTAACAAGAGTGACAGCAAAGTATGTGATGCACTGATTTTAGCTTGTTGTTTTCCCTGCATTTGTAGGTTCACAGTATGTTTGTGTGTGGTGTCTGGGGCCTGTTTTTCTCATTACCATATCCAGGTGGGCTGTGAGTGTTCTCTGATAAGCCCCTACATCTTGCATTTCTGTATCACCTTCTGTTCTTATGAAGCATAAAATGGTTTGCCAATTAGAGAGGATTTTCCCCAGTGGAATCAAATGCAGATGCAGTGCTGAAATGTATCTGGGAGAAAGGAGTTACTTCATTTGTTGCAATGGGAAGGGAAAGCAAAATACTAGGACATGGATTTCAGCCTTGAACTGCAACAGTTATTGTGCAGCTGCTGACAGAAAATAGAAAAAAAACAATTATGACACTTCATGAGATATTCTAATGGCTTTTCTAGGTAAAGGATGCAGTAAATAATAAAGATAATAAAAATAATGCTTAGGGATTAGAGCATTAATGAAGTGATTGTTCACAGTGAGGTGTTTTAATGAGTACGGTCCTTCATATGTTGAATTCTTCAGTAAGTGTTGTTCTGTAATTTGTACGTTACTGTGCTTGCACATCGTGTGGTCTCTGTAAAGTCACCATTAAAAATCAATTACTGCTGAACTTGGCCCTTTAAGTACATAAAAATAAAATTGGCAGCATTTGTCTCATGGCAACGGCTCTTGAGCGCAGTGACAGATGATCCAGAGGTCTGAAGAGACTCCTCTGTGTCACAACACATAGAACATCCCTTGCGCACAAGCTTTTGTGTTTCAGTTCTCTGAGGAAAGTGTTCCCCCTTCTAAAAATTGTGTAGACATGAATATTTCTTAAAGGTGTTGCTAATGAACCCAAACCACATCACGAACACTGGACTTGTCATTAGGCACTGACTTTGGGTCAGACGTTATCAGTGCTTTTGTCCTCCCCATATTTTGCCAGTATGAGACAGCAAAAGGACAGGGTTCAGTGTCAATAGAAGCATTTGTACCCATCTTACTGTAGTTATTCTGAACAACATGACATAAGAATAGTTACGACTGGTTTTGGTTTGCATTTGTTGCATTTTGCTGTCCTCTCTTCATTCTTAACCTTACATTTTTGCTTGTAAAGTAACATTTCCATTTCCTCATAATGCTTTGTTTATCTTGCTGTTTGTGCATGTTATGAAAGCCTGTTCTGAGCTTTGAAGAACAGACTTTGCTATGCTTTGATTTCTATTTTTTACATATTTTTTTACGCTATCTGATCTTGCTCAGCAAGCTCTTCAGTGTGCTTATCTTCGTGCTCACTGTGGGGAGTGAGAAAAAAAAAGTTGCAGAGGAAAATATGCAAGCAGTGAAATGGACTGGAAATGGAAAACAACTATTTGGAGGTGCAGCTTGGGCACAGAACTTAGTGTTTGGGCGGAATGACTTCTTTGAGTAGCCCTGTACTTGCCTCTGAAGCCCATCTCAGGTTCCTCATCTAGAAAGGATGATATGTCATTTTCAGGGCATTTGGAAAATCAGCATAATTATCTAAATGCTAAATATTGTCACCTAACCAGTAGTCTGTAAGCTCAATTCCTGCTGGTCAGGCAGATTTAACAATTCTGGTGGCACTGGATAGGGATTAGGCTTCTTTCTCGGTATCCCTGGAGGTAGTGACAGGCAATAGTGCACTGTTCTGGCTGTGCCTGCTGAGAATCTATCCAAAACGTTATAAGGGCTTCCATTACTGCAGTGTTGGACTTGTTGATGGTGTTGTTCTTATATGAACCCTCCCCTACTGTGCTAAGGTTTTATCTCATTTGTTTAGGTGTGAACAGGGACGTAAGCAGGGGCAGTGATTTGCCACAGGTTTCCACTACAGCCACTGGTGAAACAACCATCTTGCAAGCCCCAGGCTGTGGGGACGTTCCAGAAAGCTGATTACTACTTCTCTTGAATGACCATATTTCCTCTTGCTGTGCTGTCAGCTTCTCATTCTGCTTGCTTCCCATTATAAATAACACTGCAAATGTGGAATATGTTGCAAGATGGCTTCTCTTGTTGAGCCCTATTCCCATGAGTAATACTGACGGCTATTGAGGCAAGTCAGCCCTTTCAGTTCATTTGTTTGCGTGGTATATACCCCGAGTTCTCTTTTTCCCCCTAGATTTTTCTAAAATATTAATCATATTTGATCTTTTCACAGCTTGTAGTTAAAGCTAGAAGGAAAATTATGAATATTTTCATGAGTGAATGTCTTGAATTAATGTTCTCCTCATCATTTAACAGGGTAACAGAGGCTTATGTCAGTGTATTTATCTGTGTGATAACCCAGGTCCAGCACTTATTTTGTCTGCTGTGTTTCTAAATATCAATTGGAAAATATATTCAAAGAGAACTTGATTTCCAGTGACTGTGCATAATAAATGGACATATGCTAAACATAATTACATATTTTAGTGCATTAAAATGCAAGAATGATTTGGATTATTTCAGCAAAGCTCAGTGAAGAGCTGTGGTAAGTATCTACACCAATTACTCCAGATTTAATTGTACCATTAAAGGCATGGGTGTTCGTATTGTAACAGTGTAATCTGGTTTTGGAAGAACTTGCACAAAGATAGCAAGTAATTGTAAGCTTTCCATAACCACAGCGTAGCAGCACTATGATATCCCTATTCTTGTGGGAAGTTAGAGCTTTCAAAAGGTAAATATAGAGGAAAGGTTTTTCTTTGGTTTCCTGAATTAGGCAGGAAATAATGTAGGGCCTAAATAACAGCCTGAAAAACACTGTTCTAAATTGTTCAGTCCTTTTTTGCATGGATTGAACTGGGAAGGCTGATGTTTGGAAATGATGCAGTTGGCAACTGCACTGAAGAGAACCTGGTGACTGTGAAGCCTCTGGGTGTGGGGTTTTCACAATGTAGAGAGGAATTTGAGCTTGAGGCTATGTGGGATACAGAGAGCTTCAGTGTTAGCCTTCTGAAGAGAGATACTTTAAGCCAAATCCAAAAATATTTCAAAATGTCCTTTTCTATGTACATGGTACAAACCAAACAAAAGTAGTTCTGCATTTTAGTACTATGCCACTACACCATAAAATAAGCAAAAGGGGCTTTGTTTCTGCATTCTTTCTCCTTTTAAAAACCCATTCAAGGTCATGGTTTGAATGGAAAAGTAATTGGATTTGAGACACCATATGTTGTGGGATGCTTCTGACATCCCTAATGAATGTTACACGGTGCTGTTCTTCCACAGAAGTGTTGATATTAGCATTGGAATGACTGTTGACATGAAAACTTTCATTAAGAGAAAGATCTTGAAGTCAGTCTTGGCTGACTTTTCTTACTTTCATTTCATCATGATAAAATGCCCACTCCGAAATGCAAAGGGGTTGCTCCCCCTGCTAAGCCTGTCACAATCACTCACTAAACTTTACTACTTTTTCACAATACCTTCTGATTCACAGTGACAAATCCTAGCCTAGAAAAGCAACCAACTTCCATTGCTGGGTGTCTCTTGTTAGTCATTTCACAAGATTTACGGAGCTGCTTGCAGAGAACCTTATTCCTGTGCTCTGTTTTGTAAATCAAATAAAGGTAAATTCTCTTAAAAGAAAATATATCTTTAAGGCTGTAAAGTTTGGGGAAGTTTCTTTGCTTTGTGTTTGTATCTTTCAATTTTTTTGGCTTTGAGAAGCATGAAAATGATATCAAATACATTCTCTTCTTCCTGTATGGTCTAACTTTGAAGAATCCTTTATGTAAGGAACCTTAATATCATTTTTCATAGGACATATTCTTCTCTTGAATGCCCCAAGCAACTGTCATTAACTTGTGAAAATTTATTATAAAACTGCAAGTAAAAGACAAATATGAGGAAAAAGAACCTGATGCTATAATTCTGAGGTGTTAAAATTGAAGAAGTAATAAAACCATATAAAAAAACCGCAGCCATGCAAATAAATATAATAATAAAGCAAGCTGCTACAGCTTGAACAATATAACCTCATTCTTGCCTCCTAGATAGTTGTTTCCTTTCTCATCCATTTTACATGGGTAGCAAGATCAGTTCTTTCCAAATCTCAGTGCTGCACCAAGTCGATATAAATAGACCTCACATAGGTTTGTTGTGGTTCAGTGCAGGCTCTCCAAACTTGAGCTAGGTCCTGGATTTCCCATGTCTTTTGTTTACATGGTTGTGAATGAAAATCATCCCTTGAAATTGAATATATGGTCTATAATATTGCAGAAACGCTTCTGTGCTGGAAAACAAACTTGGTACGTGCATATAAACACTATGACAGAGCTAAGGAGGGCCAAGCTACTTTGCTTGTCCCTAATACATGTTTTAGGTGTGTACAG